TAAAATAGATCAGGGATGAATCAATTTTGTGTCGATTTTCCTGGGCAAGGGAGACACCGGTGGAAATGGGTGCTGGGGAGGATTTTTGGGGAAAGCAAAGTGGTGCTGGTCCTCTTTTGGCTGCCCAGTGTTCGGTGCCTCACGCCTGCCCTGGTGGGGCTGTGCTGGCTGCCCCTCTGGCAGGGCACCACCGTGATGGCCCAGTGTAAATAAAATCAGAAGGCTCCCATAAAACTCTGTTATTGCTGCGGCACAAAGTTAGAACCGCTGGAGGTTTGTGCTCCCTGGCACTCGTGTGCAGCAATGAATATTTTATAGGAAAGGAAATACTTAGTGTCTGAATCTTTTTATAGCTCTGACACTCCCATGGGGGTGAGCTGCCCCTCGCACCCGCACCCTTTGCCAGCACTCACGGGGCTGAGCCCCTGCAGCCTCCCCTGGCCACACAGCATCCTCTGGTCCCACTGCCCACAGCATCTGCTAGCCCCACACCCCGCAGGACCCCCTGTCCCATGGCATGGCTTTCTTGGAGATGCAGGGGAGCAAACCTGGGAAATGCAGCAGGATGGATGGGGGAGATCAGTGGGTTGATGATCTTGACCTGATACATGGGCATTGAGAGCTGCAGCAAAACCTCTGGGAAGTCCCAGGTGCAGATTTCTGTCGGTGCAGGACTCTGACACCGCACTCACACACATTTTCGCCTGGCTTTGGACCTGTCAGGACTCTGCTGTTTTGCTTGTATCATGCAGCTTCCTGATTCCCCCACTGTGTTTCGTGTCCAAAACATGGATCAGTGGATCAGGCAGGATCCATGGGCAGGGAGCCCCTGCAGCCTGGATCTCCCATGCCAGGCTGTGTTCCAGCCACACGCTGCTCCAGGCTTTGTCTTGGGGCTCGCTGCTCCAGCAGGAACCGAGTGAAGCTCAGCTGTGCCGGTGCCTTTCCTCGGCAGCGAGGGGTTCCTGCCTTCCCTCGGTAGCCAGCCACCCTGCCAAGCTGTGCCCTGGCCCGGAGATGACAAAGTGCCCTTTAGTTAATTGCAGAACGGATCGCCTGGAGTTAAAAGTTCTGATTTATATGACTATGGCTCTAACTGCTCAATAACATGGGCCCGTAATCTACTTTCATTTCAAACAGAAGGGTGATTTATGGGGCAGCATGCCGCTTTAGCTCAGAAATGAGGTGTTCAACATATGCTCTGTTGACATAAATTTGGAATTTATCGCTCCTGTCAAAACTGCCTGTTGGACAAAGGTGCGCATTAAGGCAATAAATGGCTTGGAATAGTTTTCTGTCAAATTTCCTAACCATTGTATTCACTCTGTTTGAGGGGAAAAAATACACACTTAAAAGTAATCAAATGGCCAAGAGCCATGTGTCTTTTTCAGCGTGGAGGGAGGGAGGGGAGGGGTCTCCCCTGCTTCCCAAAAGGGGTGGTGGGGAGGGGCTGGGATACAGGAGTTCCTCAAGTAAAGACAGCAGAAGGCTGTTTTAGGCAGGGTTGTAAGCAGGAAGGGCAGAGATTTGCTTTTGGTGGCAGTGGGACTCTCGCAGTGGTCTTTAGGTACCAGGACTGCCCCCATACCCACGCCCCAGTGTGCTCCACCAAACTCGTGCACCCTGAGGTGCTCTGCCAAGCCCCTGCATCCCCAAGCAGTGCTCATCGGCGTTTGCCACCGAGCCCGGCCTTTTCACACAAAGCACCCTGTGGGGAAAACTCATAATTTTTACACCACGCAGTCTCGCTGGAGTCGCCGTCCCTTTGAAGTGCTTTTTGTGGGGCATTTACAGGCCTTTTTAATTACCGGCAGCTTGCGAGGGGCCAGCCTCTCGCCCGGCTTTTGTTTGCTGGTGCTGGGCGGGGAGGGGGTCTCGCTGGGCTTGCATTCCGCCTGGAAAGCCCCTTGCCAAAGCCCTGTGCTGGGGCTCGCTCGGGAAGGTTGGATCCAAGCCTGGGATGCTGTGCCATGGGCATCCTTGTTGCCTTGGGCATCCTCATCGTCCTGGACCACCCTCTGTGCCAGAGCATCCTCGAGTGATATCTCATGACCTGGAGGCTTTGGCCGACTTTGTTTCCGTGTGCTTTGAGTGGGACATTGTGTAGGAATTAGAGGAAAACCTTCTTTTCACAAAAAAGGTACTTTTCCCACTTGTCTCTGCTCTCCATCCCATGGGCACCTTCTTGGCTGATGTGCTTGTAGGGAACTTGCAGGAGAAAGGAGAACAGTTTCAGCCTCATATCAGAATAATTAAACATGGTTTATCTTTTGGCACAGTGTTTGGGCAGCACTGGCATGTATTTTAACACCCTTCACTCCCCACCCCCTCTTTCTGGAGGCACAACTTCAGAAGCACATATTGATCTTTCCCTCAGATCTTAACAGCCCGAGCAGCCGTAATACCTTGCTTACATCTGCCAGGTTTTTGTGCAGTTTTGCAACATCTCCTTAATCCGGCGAGCAGAAATAGAACGTTTCAATCATATTTCGCTACCGGGAAATGGAGCAGATAAAGCGCTTTAAGACCTTGTTGAAAGGGACCGTGCAAGATGGCGAGTGATAAGAACGTCCTAGAAGCAGGCGCCCAGCGGAAAACTTTTGTTGCTGCTGAAATTTGTTGATAGAGATATTGCAACTAAATTACTCTTTGAGCACCCCTGTGCCCCATTGAAACAATGCAGAGAGGATGTGATCTGGGCATCGTAGTGCCCTGGGCAGTGGCGGGTGGATTTCCACGGCCCTGTGACGCCAGTGGGGTTGGGGGTCTCCTCGTTTCCTTATTTCCCCACTCTGTGCTGGGAAGATGGGAGAAAAGGTTGTGCTAGCCATAGGTTTGGGAGATGCAGAGGAAGGAAACTTGTCTTTCTGTTTCTCTGTTTCTTGAGACTCGCTTAAAAAAACGCAAACCTCCATGTTTTACTTGAACTAATTAACCAGTTAGACTGTAATTCAGGGAAAAGGTGTTCTGGCCTCAGAAGGGGCAGTGTGGACCCAGAGCGTGACGTGGGTCTTCCTAACAAAGTGTTTTTAGCCCGGCATTAAGTGCAGGAGCAAGCACAGCCAGGCCGGGGAGTGTGACAGGCATGTCCCAAATTAAAAATGCAAAATGAGAAGGTTGTCACTTATTGAGCTGCTCGTTGGCAGCAGAGCCCTGTCAGGAGGCTGGTGTTTTATTTATTTTTGCAAGGCGGATAAATCCTTTGGATTGTAAACCTTCTTGGCCTGAATTCGTGCATGACTCCTAATCCTCTGCTATGACACAGTGAATTCAGGACAAGCCTGATTAATAATTACATTATACAGCAAAGTTGAGAGCTGAAACCAGCTCCTGCTCCTTCCCTCTCCCTTCTGCTCTGCAGCATTCACTCACTACTGAACATCAGGGGCTCTTCTCCTGCTCTGACTTTTCCCATGCTGCTATTCAGTATCCTGCAAGGTGGGATGTGGGGCTGGCAGCCAGGGAACAAGCCCCTGAGCCCCATAGGGCAGGGGTGGTTTGGGGCTCTGGGCTCTCTGCAGCCGTGAGGGGTGATCCTGCTTGAAGTAGGAGCAGCTGCTTTGGCCAGTAAAAGTTACACCTCAGGGAAGTACAGCAGGAGCTCACAGGCACATGGTCTTCACAAGCCTGCACAGCTGGGGCTGAGCCCTCCCGTGAGAGGGTCCACATCCAGCCCTGGACAGGACCATTCCTGTTTTGTCTTTGGCAACAAGGCAATAGAAATGCTCTCGTCCTGCTGCGGCACGATGATAAATGGTGGCTGCGATCAGAGGTCAGCACACAGCTATGGGCTGTGTTACTCCTCAGCACACACAAATACTTCTCTGTTTACAGCATCCGATGTTGAAACTTTGCACGTGCTGCTGTCCTGAGTCCTCCCCAGCCGCAGGTCTGAGCAGCTCATGGTGACTGAGAGCTGGTGGGCAGCAGCCCATGCATTTGGGGCTCGGGGGCACTGATCAGTGTGGCTGTCCAGCACAGAGCCAGCTTTGCAAAGAGTGTTTGTAGTGATGAAATGAAGCACATGTTCTGGGCGTTGTGCCCCTCTGTGCACACTCAGTAGCAGAGGCTGTTCTGGGGACCAAGCCTCGGGGTGCTCCCCGGTGAGTGGTGGGGGCTGAGCAATGGTTGGTCTCAAAATGGGGGGGAAATGGGTCTGGGGGGCTGCCAGGGGCAGCAGCGGTGTCTTGGGAAGGAGATGGGGTTAGGCTGGGTTGTTGGTATTTTCAGACTTGGACAGTGTCCTTTAATGCTGCCCTCCTTTAAAGGTCATTCCACTTGGTCCAGAACTTGGATACCCAAAGGTGGAGCATCAATGTCCAAGGAATGGGCAATAATGCAGAGTCTGGCCACTGTGCTGAGCCTGGCAGCCGTGGCTGTGATCAGTGCCTGTGGTCAATGCCCTGGGCAGGAAAGCCCCTCCTGGTACCAGGATGTGGGGGTGCTCAGCCCGGCACGCTGTGGGTGGGAGGTGCAGTCGGACGTTGTGCAATGCCCGGGCTCGGTGTGTACCTGGGGCTGCCAGGAAACGGTGAGTGGCATGTTTCCTGTTTGTGAGCTGGTGGTTGTGTTTGTTGCTTGTGATTTGTGTCATGCTGAATTTGGATGGAAATTGGGATTCAGTTCGAAATGCACACAAACAACCTCTTAAAGTGGTCGGGGTTTTTTTTGGAGTACAGTGCCTTTTTCAAAAGCACTCAGAACATGGGGAAGGAGTTTGCCAACACAGATTTTGCCTTAACTCCAGACTTCAGGGTTTTCAAGTTTATTAAAAGACTCCAATGACAGCAGCAATGGCAAACTGATGGGGAGGAGAGAGGGTTGTCTCCTCACTCCTGGGGAGTCACACGGGACCCCCCATCCGTGCTCTCCCTGCAGCGCTTCTCAAGCCAGCGCTGGCTTTGGGCAGCGTGGGCTGCAGGGAGCACCAGGCAGTTTCTCGGTGCTGTTTTGGGTCACCTCCCCCATCTCAGAACTCACCCCTCTTTGTTCTCCCCTAGGAAGCTGCACAGTGGGATGAAGACGTACGGATGTGAGCTGTGCGGGAAGCGGTTCCTGGACAGCTTGCGGCTGCGAATGCACTTACTGGCTCACTCAGGTGGGTTGGGAGGGGGTGCTGGGCTGGGGATGGGGGGTTGCTCTGTCTGTCCACCCCGGGCTGCTGTGGCTGCCCAGATCACACGTCTCCTCTGCAGCAGACACGTGCGGAGCCGGCTGCGCCCTTCCCTGGGCAGCACATTGCAAACTTGTTCTCCAGTGCCCAGTAATTTGATTTATTTAAATTTTCTTTTTTGGAGTTTGTTTGCAGTTCCTTAATTGTGGAAATATTTTCCAGGCTAAGCAGCTTGGAATAACAATCTCTACATGCCACGCAGCTCCTCATGGTCAGCCCTACTTGTAGCGTGAGCATTGTTTCCACCTCGGGCCCCCACCGCAGGTTCGTTAGCAAAACTGCAGAATTAGGCATTCTCTGACTAATGAATCCAAGTAGCAGGTTCACAGGCTGCAGGGCCTTTAATTAAATAGATAGGGGAGGGCTGGAGTGCTGCACTGGAGGGAAGACTTGTGCTCTGCAAATCCATGTCAGCTGATGTTCCCCTTGGGGGTGCAGTCCTGGCACATCTGGGGGTCTGATGTGGGGAACTGGGGACAGCCAGGGGACCCCTGGACCCCAATGCAGTGGGGAATTCTTGTCCTCCTGCTCCAAGGACAGATCTCTGGGGGGTGGCAGGTACTGTAGCCACAGATCTACTTGCACGTAGCTTGGCAGGGAAGCTGTATTCAATTTTAAATGCTGTTATATACTTTTATCTATTTTTTACCTGTTTTCATTTTTTTTCCCACTTCCTCTTTTTCCTGGAGTAGGGGGGTGCTTAGTCTGGCCAGTCGCTGCTTTGTGATTTTTGGTCAATAGACCCAGCCCTGACCCCATTCCCATCCCACCGTTTTTTGGCCAGGCACCAGCTCCTCGGGGTGCCTGCAGACAGCAGCAGGTTGCTGCGGGAGGCCCCTGGGATGCTGTTCCCCTGAGTGCAGGAGTAAAGGATGCTGGTCCCCCCCAGGCCTGGGGCTGAGGACGCTGCTCCCCCAGCACTGGCACGCACGGCTCGTGTTTGTTATGGTCTCGCTGGCTCACAGCCTGTCCTGGCAGGCAGCCAGCTTTGTGGGTACAGTATGTACAGTGAACGCCGAGCCAAGCTTGTCATCACACAGGATTAATTTTTTTTTTTTCTTTTTTTGTAAATCCGGCGAGGACCGGGGGGGCGGGGAGAGCTGTGCCTCGAGCTCGCAAACAGCCGCTGTGAATTCCAGCGCTGTTATTTATTAAAGCAGGAGACCTTTGCACCTCTTCCCTCGCCTCCCCCCACCACCAGCCCTGGACACACTGAGGTTATGCTGGAGCGGTGGTGCAGGGCTTGTTTTCAGCTCTGAAAGTGGCTTTGCCTCCACACCAGTGGACCATGTGTTTAACTGGGAGTTCGCAGTGGGATGGCTTGTGCCCCCCGGCACCCTTCTCCAGCCCCAGTGCCAAAGGGCTTAAGGGGGTCCACATCTGCAGCTTCCCCATCCAGGTGTTGATGGAAAAAGTAAAAGTTCCTATGAGGACCTGGTTGGGGACCAGCCCTGGGGGGCTGTGGTGCTCTGTGGCAGGCTGGGCTGAGCACACAGTGCTGTTGTGCCACAGCCTTGCAGGTGCAGGGTAAATACTTGGCCCCGTGTTGACTCTCAGTATAAAGTGTAAATGTAAAGCCTTTAATGCCATGCAAAGTCTTTCCCTACCTGCTGCCCATGCTGCTGGCAGACAAGCTCTCAGAGATCTCTAAGGCTGACATGGAGAGTTGCCCTTCTCCCAGAAAAGCAAATTGTCAGGGAAGGCAAGGTGGGAGACCCAGCTTGTTGGTTCTGTGGCACAGAGCACCACTGGTTTGACCAGGGAGGCTGATCCCAGAACTGCTTCTCCCTCAGCTGCATCCTCACCAGAGCTGTTGTTCAGTGGGTGCTCATTCTCAGCCCAGGATGCTGGTTACTCAGCACCTGCTGTGAGCTGAGTTTATTCCTCAGGACAGGAAGGAAAGGGGGTTTCAGTCTGCCCCTGGTTTCTTTGCCTCTCCATCCAGCAGAAATGGCTGCTGTGGAGATGGCTGGGCTGGGAACAGTGAGAATAGCCGACAGTGTGCAGGGATGCTCACGGGCAGCATGGGGAACGTACAGGGAGCAGCCCTGTAGACCCCTGCCCTGTTGGTTCACAGCTTCCCTCGCCACCCAAATACGCTCCATCATCAGGAGAGGCAGAAGGAACCCCAGGTCCCACTGGGTGATGGACAAGCTGCCCAGGGAGCCGGGGTTACCATGGGAGTGGGGCTGGCAGAAGGGACAGACAGAAGGGACAGACAGAAGGGAACGGCACATCCCACCCTTGCCTCGCTGTGCCCAGTGCAGGAAGAGGGGGCTCAGCCCGGGCCACGCAGCTGCACCGTGTCGGCGGCGGGCAGGATGTGCGGGGCTGAGTGCGGCCCGGTCCCGGTCCCGGTCCCGGTCCCGGCCCCGGTCCCGGCCCCGGTCCCACGGCGGCTCCCGGAGCCCCCCCGCCCCGGCTGGCCGGCGTCCCGCGCCCGGGCCCGGGTGATGTCAGCGGCCTGCCGGCAGGTCTGGATGTTCTGCCAGCGTTCCCGCGTTTATGATCATCCGCAGATGTGCATCCAAGAACACACTGTACCCACAGCAGAAATTAATGCAGGCTTGACTGCCGGCCAAGCCGCGCACACGGGGGAGAGGAAGAAAGAAAACAAAAACTGTTTAATGCTGTTTATAAATTATACACTGGCTGATGAAAAATACATTTCTCTTAGCCCCCACCCCTCCCCTCCCCATCCTCTCTGCCTCAAGAGCCTGAACTGAGACCAGAAAATTATGGTTTGCTTTTTAGCTCCTGTTTTGGCCGGGTTCCTGGACCTGGCCGCTGGGTTGAAGCCAGCTTCTTGCTTCTCCCCGCCCTCACCTGATGAAATATGTTTATTTTTCACCCACCGTCTCTCACTGCTCCCTTGGTTTGGCCGCCCCTTGTTATTGACATTATTGACATTATTGATGCTATTGATGTTGTTGAAGGCGGCGTGCAGAGCGGGGTGCCGGGACCCCTCGCACACGCCCAACACATCCGATGTCCATCCATCCATCTTGTTCCCTCACAATGTCCGTGGCCATCACTGCCCACCTGCTTTCTGCTGGAGGGGGGAAACTTCCCAAACTTCCCCCAGGGTTGTGGGGCTGGAGACCCCCCTCGCTGGGGCTGGGAGGCAAATGGGGCAGGAGCCCCCCCATCGCTGCCCACCCCTCCCCACACACTCGCCAGCCATTTACGCAGCTTTTGTGTTGTTTTTAATACCGCTAATGTTTATCATTTGCCCAACAGGCTTGACAGATTTTGTTTCCTGTCGAGCGGCGGCGGTGGCAAAGCCCCCCCGGTTGCCAAGGAGCCGCCTCCCCGCACCGTCACGGGCTGATTTGGTATTCCGCGCGGCGCCCCGCCGCATTTCTGTATGCAAGACAAAGTGTTTTGATGGAGGACGATTGCAGGAGTGTCTGGAGGCTGTTTGGAGTTTTATGGGCTGTGCAGTACGCGCCGTGCTCGCTCGCCGTGCGGGGCTGCCAGGGATGGGGTCTGTAATTTTTTCCCTGTGGAGAGGATGCTGCTGGAAAGAGTGGCACTGGCAGGGGCAGCAGGAAAGGGAGCTGTGTAAAAACCTGCCAGTTTGGGATCCCAAGTCAATGATTAAAATCGATAATTTAAATTCTTTTTTTAAATGAAAATACTCCCTGCTCCACCAGTCCCTGTGTGGTGCAGGAGTTGGTGGCGGTCCCTGGCCAAGGCTGGGTGACCTCCACCTCACCCACCCCCAAGCCCCTGCTCCATCACTCCAGATGCTTTCCCAAGGCTCTCCAGGGCAGCCCGTGAGATGCTGCCACAGCATCCTCCTCAGACAAGTTTCCAGCACTCCAGCTCAAGGTCCCTCCTCACTCTGCAATGCCCACACCTCACTTTTTCTGATGTTAGTTATTACCTTTCCGTGGCACTTTGGGAAGCAGGAGCTGAGGCTGACTTTCTAAGCCTGCTCTACAGCTCTTTTTTAAGCCCTTCTTGGGTTTCTCTACAGTATTTTTTTAGCTCAGAGATTTTCACGACTTGTCTCTTCCACTTGGGTGAAACAGGGGAGAAGGGAAATAATAATAACGATAATAATAATAATAATAATGGCAATAATAAAAATCCGAAAGCGGCTTGATGTGGGCAAAAGAAGAAAACAAGAGAATGGGATAGAGAACAGGCTAAATTTAAAATTGTAATTGGCTGACTTCCACAGGCTTGCGGGTGTTTTAATGACTCATAATAACTTCATTTAAAACCAGCTGAGCAGAAAATAGATTGGAGAGGAGCCTCAGGCCATTATGGATTTGTTTTTTTTTTTTGACAAGCTCTGTTTTCGGCAGCCAGGAAGGCACTCGCAGAGGGCTCGGCTGCTGCGCTCCCCGAGTTGGTGGTCTGCCCAGCAGAGATTGTATAGAAACCGGGCTGGCTCTTCTCATTTTTTCCCTTTTTTTTTTCACTGATTAAAAATAGATGCCTTGAGGTATTATTTTAGCATCACTGTGGTTTGGTGCTTTTTTCTTTGCACTTCTGATGTGGTAAACGGAACATAAATAAAATTGTTTTTGAAATTACTGAATTAATTAGGTAGTAAAGCAACGGCAGTGCATAAATTTTCTTGCCAATTTTTTTTTAATCCATATTTCCCCCCTCACATCTCCATCTTCTCACCAATTACAGCCTGTTAATAATATACAATCCCAAATTTTTATTAATCACTTCTGCTGAGGGAGGGGATGTCGCATTCTGCTGATGGGGCCATTGTGCCAAAACAGCAGCGGGGAAGGCTGGATCCTCCCCCACCACTCTCCTCACCAATTTCCCATCTTCCTCCTCCCTTAGCCATCTTCCTCCTCCGGAGGAGGAGGATGCTGGCAGTCCCTCTTTTTCCTTTATTCCTTCTCTTTTCCTGAGCTAGAGTTCCGTGTGCCTCTTCCATGGCCCCACGGAAGTTTCTCCTCCCCAATAAAGTAATTAAATGATGGGCATTGGGAGGGACTGTTGGGATGATGGTGGCTGAAACAAGATGAGCTCTGCCATCCATCCCACCGAGCTGAGCCCAGCTGGCTGGGAGGGAGCTGCAGCCCCTGCCTGGGTGGTGATCCGTGGGGCATCCCGCTCCCGAGAGCTGCTGCGCCGCCCGGCAGCCTGTTCCCTCACATTTCTGGGCAGGGGAAACTAAATAATACAATCACAGAACCATTAAGGTTCAGAAAGACCTCCAAGATCATGAAGCCCAACCTGAGTTCTGCCCCTCCTTGTGGCTTTGGTGGCACTGGGGGCCTGGGCAGCTCTAACCTTGCTTGAGGGGCGCATGGGGCGGCAGTGACTGCGCAGGATGGAGCGAGCAGCAGCTCCTCACCCGTTTGCACCAGCGACCTTTATTAGGCAGGGGCTGTAAATTTGCCTGTGCAGATATAAATGTACGGCAGGGGGGCTGGTGCCAGCAGCAAGGCTCGCGCCGAAACACGGCCGATACTTGGCAGCACGCGGCGTCCTGTCCCATCCCATCGATAAGATCATCTGGAGATATCTATACGTTGTAGGCGATACGAGGTGCTGGCTAAATATACCCTGCCCAAACCTGTGCGTGCGTTCAGAGGGGCTGATGGTTTCTGTTTAAGGCAGGGAGAAAGGCAAGGGGGGGGGGAAGAAGAGAGCCCTGCCATGAGCTCTGCTTTCCAACGTGTCCTGCTCCCTTTCATAACAAACAGCAAGCCGTGGTGGTTTTTTTCTGAGCCCTGTTATAATAAGCTCAGATGTTGGATGACATTTTCCCAGTGACTCACATAGTAAAATTAACCTTGAACTATTTACATATTCAATCGCCGCCCTCCTCCTCCTCCCCCTCCCCGCCGGCGTGTGTACATTACAGGAATTCTGGCTCCGTATCAGTTTTTTGTTTTGCTGATGAGAAAAGGAAAAAAAATAAAAGGAAAAAAAAAAA